CCTCACCCTTATGACTGTATGTCTATCAATCCTCACCCTTATGAAGATTCCTCCCTTTGTGTCTCTCGGTTCCGAGGCTACCATACATTCTCATTATCAACATCCTCTAGATCTGCCAAGGTGTGTGCTACAGACTTTCCGAATAGGGACTGGAATGTGTGTCTCCACAAACTGCTGTAACGTCATCGTTTGGGTTGACCTCTGGCAGTCGTAACAATGCACATGCATCTGCGTTTCTAGCTCCTGGTCTAGATGCAATATTGAAGTTGTCGTCTACCAAGGCAATTATCCATCAGTGTCCGGTGGCGTGAACTAATATTAAATCACTAGGAGGTCTTAATGTTTGACAAGACTGGGTTAGCCGAAGAAAAGCCAAATCGTCGGGCAGGAAACACTATACCTTTTTACATCCGAGTCAAACCCCGACCGTGGCAGTGAAAGCCGATTGCGCTATACATACGGTGTGTTCTCTTTTCTCCCACTTTTTTAAAAACACATAGAGGCAGTAATGTTGTGATAGCAGTTATAGTCTGTTTCATATATATTTTACCTGGTTTTTACCTGTTTTCTCCCACATTACCTGTGTCATATATATACAGTACTGTCATATACATATAGCTTTGATATAGTCTATTTTCATCATTTTTAGCCATTTTTTCATATCATATACCATTTTCATCAGCTAGATCTATACAAAACAGTTACGTGAAATTCACAAATATTATATATATGGTTAGATGATAATGCTTTGATTAATGAAATTTTAATTTCAATAGATTTCATTTAGGGTGAAGCAAATTCATATTGATGCATTATTTACAGAGAATCTTTTTTACCAATAAATGCGTCTTCGGCGTAATTATTAATAACTTAGTATCACTCATTAGCTTATTTTTATTTTCCCCTAAAACATAATTATTAGCTATGTTTCTTCTTGATAACCCATATTTTAACCTGAAAATATTTTTAATTTCTTATTACATGTACTTAGTCCTTGTTGCAATAATGCAATTACCATTGAATGGAAAAGGTAATAATCATTATAAATTTAAGGCATGCTATATAGGAAGTCTGTAAGTAAATGAGCATTTTGCTGACTTTGGAATATAAGGGCCTGTCAAACAAGTCATTAGGGGAAGTAACTCGACAGCTGACAAAACATACTTGCGCCCGACAGAGGCGGAATACGAAACCTGGATATGGCTTGGGTCCACTGATATTTCTAGTTGATAATAATGAATCTTAACACCTGATGATTTTGGGTCCATCAACTGACCACTTTACTGGTGAGCATTGAGTCGACAATTAATTATACAAGTATATAAGCTTATTAAGGGACATATAAGCCGACAGTTTGCAAAGCGATTAATCACTATTAATAGAAATTCATTCTCGTCACTTAATTATGTTCGTCACTTAATTGATGCTGTGGTGATTAAACAAGTGATATTGTCCAAGCTGTATGTTTTGTAAGTATAAAAGGAAGTTGAGGGTCTCACATACTCCCCATCAACCACCAACATGGCAAATGCACAAATTCAAGTGACGTTTCTTCGTAACAAGTTTGGAAGAGAGAACATCGCGTACAACGGATATATTTACTGTGTTAACAGAGGTGAGCGTGTATATTGGAGATGTATCATCCCCAACTGTCCAGCTACCCTTAGTACCCGAAACAACATCCCTACTGGAAACGGCCGCCATCCCACATCTACAGCAGCATCCGCGTCTTCCAGGAAATACTAGCCAGCAACGAGATAACGTGTATCCAACACGCAGCAGGAGGACTAACTCAGACCAAGAGCAAAACGCTACTGTAACTGTCTATACTGATTACATTTGTCATAAATTGCTTGCTAAATTTAGTTATATTTTATGAAATATATATATAACATACATATAAATGTATAATAAAAATGTACAAAATTGATTTAATATAAAATTAATAAAAGCTGGTTTTCAATTAATGTATTTTGATGTGTTTTTATTAAGTAATAACTGGAATCTTGTACATATTTATTCATAATTCCAGTATATATTACAAAAATCAGGATATATATTTGTTAAATATTCCTATAACTAACACAGTATTTCCTATTGGTGAACAGGTAAATACAGGTAAATAATATACCTGTACTATACCAGAACTGACTATAATGACACCTCTACTGTTTTCCAATGTTAATATAATTCCTTTGATCAGAAAAAAAGTGAGAGAAAGGAGAACAAACCATACATACATGCATAGATTTTTCTGACAAAATTAGGATTTTACAATCCTTTGACAGTCACCTCTGAAATTGATGTAAATGCAGTCCCCTGATCTCCTTCCCATTTATATTCACTTTTCACCATAGCTGGCTTGTCGGCTTTTCTTTTGTTGTCTTTCTAGAAGCAGACGTGAGATTAGCAAGATCTCTAGCATTTTTTGAGAGTTGTTTTATAAATTGCTATAGTATGTATCATATGAACCAAAGGAACTGTCTCTGCTCGTCTTGGGTGGGGTACGGTGGCCATGTCTTCGCCTTCGTTACCTGATCAGGTTCTTTTTCTACTCCATTCGTAGGTGCTATTTATATCTGTCTAAAATCCTGATATTTTCAAATTTTAAAAGTACATTTGAGTCAAAATCAAAATGTGGGGGTCAAGATCTAATAAACACGAATATCAGCTTACACCAATACACAGAGTTTTCTCTACGGAACGGGGATAATCGTGGTGTTGTGCTACTATTAATAACAACATCGTCATAACTGCTTTTCTATCTGAAACCCGTGTAATTGTAACATTGTAGGCTACCCATGTTTCTTGTTGTGAGATACAAAGTAGGCGAAGAACTGTGTGCTGTATGTAAATAACTCGTATAACATGCTTAGATCAGTTGTAATATTGAAATGGTGTGTTTGACTCTGTTGGTAGACAATCAGTCCCCGAGGTAGACGGTTATGTAGTAGCTCTGATCTATTCTGTCATTGTATATATTGAATACTAATCTAAATTTTCAAAAGTTGAAATTAAAGTTCTTTGACTTGCATGCAATCCCATTTTTTTTTTGCAAATGAAATATGTTTAAGTCAAACTTTGCGTCCTTTTCATTGTTTAGGTTGGTGTATGGTGTATTCTATTCTCGTTAACAAAATGTTCGTGTCCTTTTACAAGGCAAAACGACTTAAATATATCAGCTGTGCTGGAAATGTTATGCTGAAATTCCTGTAACTGTATAACATAATGTAATAAGATCAATGTTATCATACCAACTGCCGTCAGTAAAAACATAACTTTACTTAAAAAAGTGATATAAAGTTTATTGGTCTGATAATAAGTTAAATCATATGAATACATAAAATATATTACGAATTTGAACTGAAATTGGTCATACTCCTATCGACAGTTTATCCCCAACCAAAATAATCTTGTTAATTTGAGATCTGCCAGAACAAGGTTTCTGTTAGTAAGGAAATTTGAATGACATCTGATATTAACAAAAGGGATACTTCATAGCATGTTTATCAAAACAACACGAAGCTAAGTGTACATGTCTTTGTTCTCTAGGCGGCGAGTGTCGGACCGTCTAGTGTTACTACGTCCCTACCTTACTCAATAAATCCTACACAAACACCTACCTCAATAGACCATATCATTCACGCTTACATATAACCTGCACTACCGGAACATTGAAATCCGAGAAATCCGTCTGAATTAAACAAGTGAAATTGACACTTTTCTGAACTATTCAGATATTCATAGTTATATATACATAAATAATGCAGCAAGTCTCAGGGTTTGGCACTTTTTGGGGGGTGTTTAGGTTACAGCAGCAGAAAATATCTGACTGTGCAACTCATCTTTCTTTACAAATAATACACGGGGCGCTTGATGCACAATAAGAAGTAAGTACGTCAACTTTAGATATTAAACGACAAAAATAGGATAGTGTACCTTTACCGTGTTTTGCATACGGAAAATTCGATACATATATTTGGAATATGCACTTATATCTATGTAAGCAATTCGACACTTTGGTATACAGTGCTATATTTCGGCATATGGAAAATGTGTTTGGGTAAACAACATTCGATTATTTTGGATGCAATATTCTTTTTCAAATATCCAAACATGTATATTTATCAGCGACACAAGTGCGGGGCATTGTGGTGGATATCCTGCAAGCAATATCCGTGTATTCGTGAAGAACAAAATTACTTAACCAGAAAATTGTCTTTTATAAAAGTAACTTATAAAAATTGTCCAATGTACTATCATTTGTGATCTCGTCAGTAGCGCTTTGCTGCCGCCGGTCTGTTCATATTGCTGGGATGGGAATGTTGCTGCTGCACGTACTGCCTCTGTTCGTTCCCCTGTGGCGGGTACGCCTTGTTGTCGTACCCGTGTGTGTACCCCGACTGCGTCATTGGAGTGCCCCGATATTCATCATCGTGGTCATCACTCATATGAGTATTCCACGTGCACAGTGCGATAGCCAGTGTGACTGCGGCCACGAATGTGATAATACATCCTAGACCAGACGATAAGGCGGCATAGGGGAAAGTGGTGGCCGCCAATGTCTCCAAAAAGTAGTCGGCCAAGAATATGTAGGCCAATCCGAACAGTCCCAAACCCGGTAACATTAGGAGGGCTGAAAACAAGCAAAGACACATAGGTAAATTACACTTTAGACATTACAGTGAGTGCACAATCAATCATAAATCAATAAAATGATTAGCATAGAGGGAGGGATTCATAAAATGGAGGGATTCAAAGAAAGCCATGCAGCTGTGGCTTGAAACTACATACTGTAGAAGATAAAGTCACAAAGAGAGGGAGATTCAAAATAATTCATTCAGCTGTGACTTAAAACTACATACTGTAGGGGATAAAGTCATGTAGAGAGGGAGATTCACATAAATCCGTACAACTGTGATTGAAAACTACATAATGTAGGGGATAAAGTCATGTAGAGAGGGAAATTCACATAAATCCGTACAACTGTGACTGAAAACTACATAATGTAGGGGATAAAGTCATGTAGAGAGGGAGATTCACATAAGTCCGTACAACTGTGACTGAAAACTACATACTGTGCGGGGATAAAGTCAGAAAGAGAGGGAGATTCACAATAATTCGTACAACTGTGACTGAAAACTACATACTATAGGGAATAAAGTCACATACTCAATTTTAGCTATTGGTCTAGCCCAACGCCACAGAGGTCTATACACAACCTTAGCTCATGGTCTAGACCAGCGACTCAAAGAACCATACACAACCTTAGCTATTGGTCTAGACCAACGCCACAGAGGTCCATTCATAACCTTAGCTCATGGTCTAGACCAGCCTTTCAAAGGCCCATACACAACCTAAGCTGTTGGTCTAGACCAGCGACCCAAAGAACCATACACAACCTAAGCTATTGGTCTAGACCAACGCCACAGAGGTCCATACACAACCTTAGCTCATGGTCTAGACCAGCCTTTCAAAGGCCCATACACAACCTAAGCTATTGGTCTAGACCAGCGACTCAAAGAACCATACACAACCTTAGCTATTGGTCTAGACCAACGCCACAGATGTCCATACTCAATTTTAGCTATTGGTCTAGACCAACGCCACAGAGGTCAATACACAACCTTAGCTCATGGTCTAGACCAGCCTTTCAAAGGCCCATACACAACCTAAGCTATTGGTCTAGACCAACGCCACAGAGGTCCATACACAACCTTAGCTCATGTCTAGGACAGCCTTTCAAAGGCCCATACACAACCTAAGCTATTGGTCTAGACCAACGCCACAGAGGGCCATACACAACCTTAGCTCATGGTCTAGACCAGCCTTTCAAAGGTCCATACACAACTTTAGCTCATGGTCTAGACCAGCGACCCAACGAACCATACACAATCTTAGATATTGGTCTAGACCAGCGACCCAAAGAACCATACACAACCTTGGCTCATGGTCTAGACCAGCGACCCAAAGAACCAAGCACAACCTTAGCTATTGGTTTAGACCAACGCCACAGAGGTCCATACACAACCTTAGCTCATGTCTAGGACAGCCTTTCAAAGGCCCATACACAACCTAAGCTATTGGTCTAGACCAGCGACCCAAAGAACTATACACAACCTTAGCTCATGGTCTAGACCAGCCTTTCAAAGGCCCATACACAACCTAAGCTATTGGTCTAGACCAGCGACCCAAAGAACCATACACAACCTTAGCCATTGGTCTAGCCCAACGCCACAGAGGTACATACACAACCTTAGCTCATGGTCTAGACCAGCCTTTCAAAGGCCCATACACAACTTTAGCTCATGGGCTAGACCAGCGACCCAAAGAACCATACACAACCTTAGCCATTGGTCTAGCCCAACGCCACAGAGGTACATACACAACCTTAGCTCATGGTCTAGACCAGCCTTACAAAGGCCCATACACAACTTTAGCTCATGGTATAGACCAGCGACCCAAAGAACCATACACAACATTAGCTCATGGTCTAGACCAGCGACCCAAAGAACCAAGCACAACCTTAGCTATTGGTTTAGACCAACGCCACAGAGGTCCATACACACCCTTAGCTCATGTCTAGGCCAGCCTTTCAAAGACCCATACACAACCTAAGCTATTGGTCTAGACCAGCGACCCAAAGAACTATACACAACCTTAGCTCATGGTCTAGACCAGCCTTACAAAGGCCCATACACAACTTTAGCTCATGGTCTAGACCAGCGACCCAACGAACCATACACAATCTTAGATATTGGTCTAGACCAGCGACCCAAAGAACTATACACAACCTTAGCTCATGGTCTAGACCAGCCTTACAAAGGCCCATACACAACTTTAGCTCATGGTATAGACCAGCGACCCAAAGAACCATACACAACCTTACCTCATGGTCTAGACCAGCGACCCAAAGAACCATACACAATCTTAGCTATTGGTCTAGACCAGCGACCCAAAGAACCATACACAACCTTAGCTCATGGTCTAGACCAGCGACCCAAAGAACCATACACAATCTTAGATATTGGTCTAGACCAGCGACCCAAAGAACCAAGCACAACCTTAGCTATTGGTTTAGACCAACGCCACAGAGGTCCATACACAATCTTAGCTATTGGACTAGACCAACGCCACAGAGGCCCATACACAACCTAAGCTATTGGTCTAGACCAACGCCACAGAGGTCCATACATGACGTTTTTCATCACCTAGTCGGCTTTGAAAAGGAATTACACAAAAACTTTCCAGAGTAATCATTACATAAATTCCTCCCTTAAATGGGGATGTTCATATAGTATCGCCTATGTATATATTACAAAGGAAACCAACAGGGAGCATCGCACAAAATCAAAACATGTTTGAAATGAGCAAATACATGAGAAAGAGAGATTCCTAATGTGTTGAAGCATACAAACATTGCAAAATATAGATGAAACGTAACAAAAACGAGAGAGGTTAAAACTAAGTGATGTATAAAGGATAGACTCATTTAAGCATTGAACTGTTTTTGTATGGTATTTATACAATACGATATTGCAGACATTGGTCTTGTTTTCGTTGTAATAAAAGTGTTTTTTTATTTTATTTTTTATTTTGCACATGAATTTACAATGACATTGTCAAATCTCACAATGCCCAGCGATATTTCAGCAGCCGTCATGTTTATTTATATTGGATATTGTAGTTCCGGCCAGTGTTGTATTAATACGCTAAGAATTGTGTCTCGTGATGCATGGGAATTAAAGTCCCATCAACGACACAGTTTTCAAAGAGGCTATATAGTGACAATGCCATGCAAATGTAAATATAAAGATATATACACAGGAACGGAGGACACACATATGAATACAAAGATATCTTTTGGTATAAAAAAGATCAAACAAGACTCATGTAAATTATGAAAGTGCTTACCTGACAAAAATAGACCAACACAGCTAAACACGAAAGCACACTTGCTTTTGCATGCACCACAAAAGCCGAACAGGAATCCCACGGAACACAGAAATATAAGTCCAACCGCCGCCGTCATACAGGCTTGGAATATGGTGTAGAACCACTGGGAAGCTGTAATATAAACACTTTGATCAGTTATTTATAGATAATTCCTTACACTTGTTGTAAAATAGATAGTTTACAGATTACTGTGTACTTTATTATATGTATAACTAAATGTAAATACGGTATCAGATACAGCATATACCTGAACAGTGTAAGGAGATACAGGTGTAAGATATGCAGTTCATTTACTGGCTTCATTTGTATTAATATTCAATTTCAGATAGTATCAATTCGCATTTTACGACCAAAGAAAAAATACACACTCTTAGTTGCCTATAGATGATGTTTTTGTCTCTAATGCCTCGGTAAACAGGTTTCCCGGCAAACATCACTGTTACGTAACCCCCACCCAAACAATCAAGATATTCTGCTCTAAATAATTGTCATGTCAAAAACACATCCTCATACATAGACACAACCACGTATGTGTATTGTTTTGACGTCTCAGATTGTACGAGTGAAATGCAGGTATGGATAGATTTTAGGACGGTTTTAGCAATAAACGAGTGTAATCTGAGACGTAAGATGAACACGTGGTAGTATTGATTTTTATATGCTTTTAAGTGTATATGATATGATATTTTCTGTAAAATACACGCATTAAATCCTACTTGAAATATTCGATTCTCTCCATAAAAACTTTAAAAGCGGAAAAATTACGCCGTGGATGAATAATGACGTGACGTTACCGTAGCGTTGAATGGTTATAAATGTTTATGATATTCTTGAAAATTTCTCCCAGTCACATTGGCCGGATCTTATACACGTAACCAGTCCTCAGAATTTCATGTAGACTGGTCATCCGGTGAATATCGATTCTAAATATAGCCTATATAGGAATTCCCGGGAACCTGTCGAAGCGCATACACAGTTAGACAGAAACGCGAGTTGTTAGACGACAACAGAAGATGGCTGCTGACGAACGTTTCTCATCTTTATAAAGATACTGTTAGTATTAAAAAGGCCACCGAACACGCAGTGCATGTCCTCCGTGCTTATCTTAAGAAAAAGAACCTCGACGATGTCTTCGAAAGCTACGATGCTGAGCTGTTGAATTCGAACTTGGATAAATTTTACACGGAGGCTCGCGTACAAAAATAAAAACCTTGAGTTTTGTTTTGTTTTATTTTATTGTTGAAGCATATAATGAATCAGTTATGGGTTTTTGTGCTGGTAAATATGATGTGATATGAACCTGAAAAAGTGATATTAACCTAGGCTTCATTCTTTCAGGTTCATATAACATTCACCTGCATAAAAGCCCATAATTGTATATTAGAAACCATTATTGTTTCAAATCTTTACTTTTGTTAACTACCTTCAAATGTTTTAGGTATGGATTTTATGTTTACTGCAAAACATTACTCATTATCACTTTGAAATCATGTTCCATTTCCTTCACGAAAATTTGAACCTAACAACCATGGCTGACCAAACAACATTGACGACGGAAAACTGGCGTCATGTCATCACAACGTTAACGGTAAGCAATTTTAAATTCCAATTTTATCTTAGTACATGTAGCACCTTATATTGTCACATCTTGAAATACAGGTCATTATATGGTCTGAATATTGGCACGTGACGTGTCGTGTTACTTTCTCGCGCTCTAACAAAGGACACATCAAATATGCATACGGTGTGAGCAGTGTCTGCTGTAAAATACCTTGGAATGTAAGGGTCTACACGGGACAGTGACTCAAAACACATAATGTATGGTGTCAATGAAATCTGTTGAATCGACGGTGACCCCGAGATAGTTCAATATTTAAGATGGCTCAGAGTAAGATCTGTTTAACTAAGAGTTTTAATGGAGAATGATACTAACTCGATGTAATTCCTGTATATAAGATAGTTCGTGTAAGATCTATTAAACTAAGAGTTTACTTCAGAGGACGCGGAGTTAGTAGTGCTTGAACAAAATACATACTGATGACATACTTTGAAGTAAAAATCCATTAATGATATGACTCGGCACAATTACTCTTGCAAATGTTCAGACGTACAAAATGTAACGTCAGATGTTGACGCACAACAGTGTAACACACTTTTAACGTCATTTCGTTTCAGGTTTGACGTTTGTGGCACACGGCCGGCTTTGTAAAACACGTGCTTTCAGAGCTATCGGATTGAATATAGACATATGTAAAGCCCGTTTATTTGACATTCATATGGTCACGATTTGTATATAACAAGTGAAACCAGTTTTGACAATGATCAAGTTTAACGTGAAGATAACGGTTAAGAAGTGAAAGAAAAATGTGATGAAATAACGCTACCCGTATAAGTACCATGTACCATCTACTTGCTAAATATCAACAATGATATGTAAGTTATAAAACAATCCTTATTTATGTTTATTTGATTGAAGCCCGAGAATAGAAGCGCGCTCAGATTATACTACATTGTATTATGATGTGATGTCATTTTGCCATTTAGTAATACATTTGCATTGGCGTTGTTACCCTCAGAGTTATCACACTGTTCACGCATTCCAATAAATCAAATGGAAAAATCACATACAAGATTAAATTTCGTTCATTACATTTTCCACACATATACAGCTGACACAGCATACACATATTCAAGAGTTAAATGTCTCATAGGGGGACACATTAACTTGGAGTAAATACTGTGTAAGTGAGGTTAAAGGTGGACACAGTTACTCGGAGTAAATACTGTGTAAGTGAGGTTATAGGTGGACACAGTTACTCGGAATAAATACTGTGTAGGTGAGGTTATAGGTAGACACAGTAACTCGAAGTAAATACTGTGTAAGTGAGGTTATAGGGGGACACATTAACTCGGAGTAAATACTGTGTAAGTGAGGTTATAGGAAGACACAGTTACTCGGAATAAATACTGTGTAAGTGAGGTTATAGGTAGACACAGTAACTCGGAGTAAATACTGTGTAAGTGGGGTTAAAGAGGGACACAGTAACTCGGAGTAAATACTGTGTAAGTGAAGTTATAGGTGGACACAGTAACTCGGAGTAAATACTGTGTAAGTGGGGTTAAAGAGGGACACAGTAACTCGGAATAAATACTGTGTTAATGGGGTACTAGGTGGACATAGTAACTCGGAGTAAATACTGTGTTAGTGGGGTACTAGGTGGACAAAGTAACTCGGAGTAAATACTGTGTAAGTGAGGTTATAGGTGGACACAGTTACTCGGAGTAAATACTGTGTAAGTGGGGTTAAAGAGGGACACAGTAACTCGGAGTAAATACTGTGTAAGTGGGGTTAAAGGGGGACACAGTTACTCGGAGTAAATACTGTGTAAATGAGGTTTTAATGGGATGGCGATGACGCGGAATGAGTGCTGTGTAATAGGGGTTATGAAATAAGGACAAGATAACCCGGAGTCAGTGCTCTTCAAATGAGTAACTAACAGGACATGGATGATTAGTGCCTACTGTTAAAATTGAAAAAAGAGACGGTTACTCGGAGTTGATAATGTGTAAGGGAATGTCTTATTTGGAAAAGCTGTATAGCTAGCGACTACTTGGAGATGATGACACATGGTATGTAACGTAGAGCCTACATGTTAAGCATTAGATGACACCTTTTACTGTGAACATGTTGACTAAATGTTACTGCTACTAACCGTAGTATTAACCACTGTTAACATGTTGGGATATTAAACTGTTAACCTCTGTATACTGTTATCTTACCCACTTCACTGCCCGACTCCGCAGTCTGGTCCGCCAAATTTAAGCTGATGGCCGTACAGTTGCCAGATCCGATGTTGCCGCCAAAGCAGGCTGCGAGAAACCACACCCCGATATACACTCGATCATTGATCACAAACCACCAGGGCAATGCTAGCCCTGCTGCTTGGAAGAAGAGTCCCAAGAACGTTAAAACGGCCGCGGCCACGAATACTCCCGGCCATTTTGACATGGTTAGGATGTCTGTCCTCGCTACTTGGTTGTTATTAGTAAAATGTCCGTTGTTAAACTACGTCAACATGATACCCTGCACAGGAACACACTCTCTACTGTTGGGGATGCATGAATACACTCTTATAGAGCCACTGGTGTCCTTCCTTCTATAGAGGCAGGACCCCGTGACGTGAAAAATGTGGCATTCCTAATAAATACATCGTAGGTGTTGATAACTCTATTTCTATTGTCAGCCTGTATCCGTAACTAATCGTAAGGTAGGCATGACGTGGGCACGAAATATTTCTCAATAGTTTCATGGATTGGTAAAATCGAGACATTTGAATACGACATTTCTGTAAAATGTATAACCCTAATATATCAGGAAGATATGGTCCTACTACCCCAGGTGTAATAGGATTTGTATCTCCGCAGTTTTCAAACATAATACAGATGAAGGTAAGATATTATTAGTTTCCTATACGAATTTTTTGTTACTGTGACATACTTATAGAAATGTATAGAGGATACTAAAACTAACAACGTATATATGTGTAATAACTTCTGTTAACAACCTGGGCGAGTAAGGCAGTGTATTACGACAGTCAAGCCGAGAGCAGGAAGTTGTTTGACATTGTCCAGTGTATGACGACAGTCAAGCTGAGAGTAGGATGTTGTTTGACATTTCCCAGAGTATGAAGACAGTCAAGCTGAGAGCAGGATGTTGTTTGACATTGCCCAGTGTATGACGACAGTCAAGCTGAAAGCATGCTATTGTTCGACAATGTCCAGTGTATGACGACAGTCAAGCTGAGAGCAGGATTTTGTTTGACATTGTCCAGTGTATGACGATAGTCAAGCTGAGAGCAGGATGTTGTTTGACATTGCCCAGTGTATGACGACAGTCAAGCCGAGAGCAGGATGTTGTTTGACATTGTCCAGTGTATGACGAGAGTCAAGTGAGAGCAGGATGTTGTTTGACATTGCCCAGTGTATTAGGACAGTCAAGCTGAGAGCAGGATGTTGTTTGACATTGCCCAGTGTATGATGACAGTCAAGCTGAGAGCAGGAAGTTGTTTGACATTGTCCAGTGTATGACGACAGTCAAGCTGAGAGCAGGATTTTGTTTGACATTGCCCAGTGTATGACGACAGTCAAGCCGAGAGCAGTATGTTGTTTGACATTGTCCAGTGTATGACGACAGTCAATCTGAGAGCAGGATGTTGTTTGACATTGTCTAGTGTATGACGATAGTCAAGCCGAGAGCAGGATGTTGTTTGACATTGCCCAGTGTATGACGATAGTCAAGCTGAGAGCTGGTTTTTTTTTGACATTGTCCAGTGTATGACGATAGTCAAGCTGAGAGCAGGATGTTGTTTGACATTGCCAAGTGTATGACGACAGTCAAGCCGAGAGCAGGATGTTGTTTGACATTGTCCAGTGTATGACGACAGTCAAGCTGAGAGCAGGATGTGGTTTGACATTGCCCAGTGTATGACGATAGTCAAGCTTAGAGCTGGGTTTTCTTTTGACATTGTCCAGTGTATGGCGACAGTCAAGCTGAGAGCAGGGTGTTTTTTGACATTGTCCAGTGTATGACGACAGTCATGCTGAGAGCAGGATGTTACTTGACATTGCCCAGTGTATGACGACAGTCAAGCTGAGGGCAGGATGCTGTTTGACATTGCCCAGTGTATGACGACAGTCAAGCTGAGACAAGGATGTTGTTTGACATTGCCCAGTGTATGACAACAGTCAAGCTGAGGGCAGGATGCTGTTTGACATTGCCCAGTGTATGACGACAGTCAATCTGAGAGCAGGATGTTGTTTGACATTGCCCATTGTATGACGATAGTCAAGCTGAGAGCAGGATGTTGTTTAACATTGTCCAGTGTATGACGACAGTCATGCTGAGAGCAGGATGTTGTTTGACATTTCCCAGTGTATGACGACAGTCAATCTGAGAGCAGGATGTTGTTTGACATTGCCCAGTGTATGACAACAGTCAAGCTGAGAGCAAGGGTTGTTTGACATTGCCCAGCGTACGGATTATTTACTGCCATCAAATGTAGTAAATGTTTCGGTACAAGGAATGTACACCGATTTCTACATAAAGAACATCAGCGGGCCGAGACACACTTGTAAACATGTCACAAAAACAAGTCGTTACAACTTCATTATGGACATGTATACGTCCTATGCTCCGCCGATTTTACCTTTTATTTCTATATAAAGCTAATTTACATGTGCGTCACTGCACTGTTTTTTTTTTGTATGTTTCGGTGCCTTGTTTCTCTAACGAGTTCGAAACAGATCTTATTTCAACATTTAATTTCAGGGTATTTTGTTTACTCTCTTAGATACAAAAGACATTGGGTAACCGGCAAAGTCACAGAAAGCCGTCCACGTATGATTGTCATCATCATTATCTCATTGAAAACAATCAAGTTTCCCTTATAAGGAAATAAGTGTGGATCTGCACTGGAAAACTACCCACTTGCATCAGTTTCTCAGCTCTTCGTCGCCCACCATAGACAGAAGGTCCCACCTTATCTACAAAGTATGCAAAGCTGCTCCGATCGATCATGAAATCGACAGAATAGAGTTATTTGAGACTATTTGTCCTTGTTAGTACCACCATTGTTTGATAACGCAGACCGATACCATGTTAAGCTACAGACGTCCTACCCCTACTACTGGTACCGCTCCTTTAAAGACGTGCAATGGTACGATGTCCAAACTCCATACACCAACACCCTCAACTGTAGTAAATGTGAAGTCGACAGACAGAACCGTTACCCATTCAGTCAGTCAGTCAGTGTCTTGTAAATCAGTTAATGTGATTACTTGTGCGAAATACCAATTGCAGAAATTTGGCAAAAACCAAAACGCCTTTTATTCTCTTACCCTGGACAGATTTATCCTTACTTTTACCGGTGTGAGATTTCCTTGTCTCACCCTAGGGTTGAGACAAGCTCCACATGCTCTTTGCACGTTCCCCACAATAAACCTGACGTCACTGATGTGACCCGGAAGAAGAACTACTTTTATGAGGTCACACACATACACAAGTTCGTCAGCTAATTTTGTCGTGTTTACATCTGACGCATACATATAATATTCATACGCTACCCACGTGTTCCTGTTTACAAACAATATGGTCCGTCTTAAATTTGGACAGGAACAACAGGGTAAGAGAAAAATAATCATTCACCCCCTCGGGGATGGGATAGGGGTATCGCAACCCTCAGGGGGGAAGATTCTTAAGTTGCCAAACACGAGGCTTTGCCGAGTTGCCAAACACGAGGCTTTGCCGAGTGTTTGGCAACTTAAGAATCCCCCCTCGGGTTGAAATCCCTCTATCTCAACCCCAAGGGGATGAAAGATTTTATTAATCTCAGGATTAAAAACCAAAACTGTTTCATCGAGCAGAAGCGCCCTGACCATTAGTCATGCATATCAATTTGTCGAGCCATGTCATTGCCGGGGTGACCAACAACTAATTGACTTTATGAAATCAATGCAGGATGTCAAACAAAGTAAACTTACACTGCACCATGTCGTTATTTCATCCATTTAGTATATGTAGTAAATAATGATACCAAAGGTAAAACTTAAATACGCCTATGTCTTAAGTGACCTGAAACATATGTAGAAATACAATTAACGTACATGGAAAGAGAAAGATGTAAGTAAAGTACAGAGTTCTGTATAATGTTGTATAATAAGGTTTTGGCTACAGCAGACAATTCCAAATAAATCCTAACTGTACTGTTATAGTTCACCTCGGAAAATGGATAGTCTACCAGCCGAACTATAAAATGGATAGTCTACCAGCCGAACTATAAAATGGATAGTCTACTAGCCGAACTATAAAATGGATAGTCTACCAGCCGAACTATAAAATGTTTCCAAAACTCGAAAGAACCAAAACGTTTTATGGCGCACTATCAATCCCCGAATTTGATCGTTATGAAATATAAAATAAAATGCTTTATTAAATCTGACAGGGACTTTAAATGTTATATTGTATGTTATATTAAATGTGACAGGGACTTTATATGTTATATTTTATGTTATATTAAATGTGACATGGACTTTAAATGTTGTATTTAGGGGATAGTACGTTGTTTTGAGTGTCTATACTGGCGATAGGAACATGAAATTTGGATTTGAACTCGAGACCGATAGGTCGAGAGTTTAAACCAAATTTCATGTTCTAATCGCCAGTATAGACACGAAAAACAACGTACTATTCCCATTCTGACACACCTTAACAAATATACTACTCTAATATGTTTAGAAACATTGTATTTCCTTGTACAAAAGTACGTAGTAAAATACTTTGTGACCTGAACTGGCGACGTGTCAATCTGCAGCGGACTGACCAATCGGAAAGAAGCTTTCAAAAGTCGGACAGTTGGCCCCGCCAATACTGGCGAGCGCTCGATCTGTATGTTGACGAGGCGTAATATTTGGATTGTTCGTGAACGTCCTGTTACCGAAGTTTATACGACACATTTGGATTGATATTGACCAAGTTCTTACATTTCCATGTCAGTATGCATACCGATCTGTGCTTATCGACAAAATCGGTGATTATTTGTATAGATTTGTGAAGAGTTTTGCGTTAATGCATACGACACATGTGAAATGTTTCTTTTGATTTCGGATCTTAATAGATGCCTGCACACGGATGGAACGAACGTTTCAGTAATAAATGGAGATAAGAACAAGGAATGTGTACTTTTTACTTTTTGATTCATTCAACAAATACATTTCATTGGTCTAAATGTGACAGGGACTTTATATGTTATATTGTATGGTATATTAAATGTGAAAGGGACTTTATATGTTATATTGAATGTTATATTATATCTGACAGGGACTTTATATGATTTATTGTATGTTATATTAAATGTGACAGGGACTTTTAATGTTATATTTATGTTATATTAAATGTGACAGGGACTTTATATGTTATATTGCATGTTATATTAAATCCGACAGGGACTTTATATGTTATTTTTATGTTATATCAAATCTGACAGGGACTTTATATGATTTATTGTATGTTATATTAAATGTGACAGGGACTTTAAATGGTATATTGTATGTTATATCA